CATCCATCCATCCATCATCTATAAACCGCTTAATCCTCATTAAGGTGGCGGGGGGGGCTGGAGTCTATCCCAGCTGACTTAGGGTGAAGGCAGGGGACACCCTGGACAGGTCACCAGTCTATCACAGGGCTACACTTAGAGACAGACAACCAAGCACACTCACATTCACACCTACGGACAATTTAGAATCACCAGTTAACCTCGACACAGACTGTGTGGGAGGAAGCTGGAGAACCTGGAGAGAACCCACGCTGCACGGGGAGAACATGTAAACTCCACGCAGACAAATCCCAGGTGTCCTCACCAGGACGCAAACCGGTGACCTTCTGGCTGCGAGGCATCAGTGCTAACCACCGAGCCCCTTTTGTAAATCTGTCCATTGAATTCAATTAGGCAAAGTTGTACATATATCTATTTGTAGAGGCATTTCAAAGACCACTAATATTCTCAATTTGTTATGGAAATGGAATGTTTCAGTGTGTTATTTTTAATATAATTAAATACTGTAAAAAACGGTTCTGCTTTATCTTTGTGGAGTTGTGTGCAGATGGATTACAAAACTATAACTGAACCCATATTAAGATGAGCGTAAAGCATTAGAAGATGTGGGAAAGCTGAAAGGATCAGAAAACCTTGCAAATGCACTTTTTGTGCCACATCGTTCTATTACAAACTAAACATCGAGCCATTAGGCGAGCTTACAGAGGACTGATCCGTCTTTTAAATGACTGGAAGTGATTGAAGATCTGGAAACAATTCAGTGTGTAGTTGTTGCTAACATCATCTTCGTCTGGCCAGAGGCAGCGTGCCAACCTGTGAGAGAAATCAATCTGTCTACACCTGTCTGCACCTGTCCTGTCTTCCAGCACCTGATGGAAAACAACTGACACTCCTACTGGAGACAAACACATCTGGTAGACACATTGTGCATATGCCCATCAATCACGAACATGAAAAACAGTGATCAGTGTCGTTTCCTGAAGACCACAGGGTCCCTAAAAAAATGACAAAGCAAAAACATGAAAGAAAAAAAAACATATCTATTGCAATGCTTAACTGCTAGGATTAGTTATTGCAGCAAGTGCACAGAAATTCTTGTGGGTACCACTTTTTTTTTTTTTTTTTTAACGTTGCCATTTACTGTCCTGTTTCTGAGCCAAGCTATTCCAGGAAAAGTTGTTTAAAAACATGTGGCTCAAAAATGCAGCTCCTCTGGCTTTTTAAGATGGGATTCCTTTTGGAAGTCTAAAGAGATAAATTGAAACAGACAAAGTATAGGTATGTGGAAAAAAACAAACACACACCTACCTTTGTGGAAGACGGTGGTATTAATCAAGGTGAATTGTTTAAGAAAACCTCAGCACAACCTTGTCAAATACATTTGCGAGCAACTTATCAGATAAGTTAATGCCTTGCAACAATGGGATGGTAGTATAACAAAAAAAGGGATGGTATCATAAACTACTACAAAAAATAAAGCACATATTGTTTCTGCTTTGCCCCTGGTCACTGAAATCAATCCAGGTATTCACTGGGTTGAAAATGATAAAAGAAGCTGGAGATGGGTTCAGACAGCACCAACAGACAATGCCTCGCACTCTCATTCATACCTGTGGGAAATTAATTGGTATGAAAGAAGAAGGAATCTAAGGGCGGGAAGAGATCATATCTGCCCCTCCAAGTGTGGAAAGAAGTTTTCAGATTTCCACTTCAGAAAAAGTAGTAATAAAGAAAATAAAAGTGCTGCATGAAAAATTCTAAAAAAGTAAAAGTATGTAAGCATTGGCAGCAAAAATGGAGTGAAAGTGCTGAAGTAATGACGTACAGGTTTGGTCCATCTGGCTGAAACAGTCTTTTGCATGTCATCATTAGATTATTAATACTTAAGCATCAGTGTGTCAGCATCATGTTACTGTTGTAGCTGCAGGTGGCAGACCTCGTTTGAATGACATTGTACACAGCTTTACTGTATATGCAGGGGCACTGGATCGATCTGAGGGATCATCAGGTGATTAATGGGAGAGGAAAGAAGTAAAAAGAATGTTCTGATACGCAAGCCTCTTTGGCCATTTTGCTTTTTTTATAAGATACTGGATTTGAACGTTCATTGAAATGAAACCATGTGAGATGTTTGGAGGGAAAATCAGCCGAGTTTAGTGAAGCTGTTAACAACTCGTAAACATCTGAAATGTGACCCCAGCCACATGCTGCTTTTTGGAAGATGTCTGGAGTCAAAAAGGATGAAAACCACTGATCTTCAAAATGTGTTGGAGTTTGAAAGATTGTTATAATGTCCATTGTGTAAAATCTTCCAGAAAAGAAGCTGTCAGATAAGAGTGGTGGAGGAGAACGTGCAATATTTCAAATCAAATCAAAAGTGCTTTACAGCATTAAAAACATTATCAAAGAAAGAAAAAAAGAAAAAAAAGATTAGAAAACCCATCCCCCCCCCACCCTCCATGTACACACATATGGCTACACACACAAACGCACACACACTCTCATCACTGACTGTAGGGAGACATGGCATGGCACTGAGGCCCGTGGAAAACGCTACCAATTGGGGCCATCCACACCGGGAGGAGTCACAGACCATGACCACTGGCAGCACCAGCACTAGGACCCCCTGGACCCCGACAGACCAGCGGACCCCCCACACTGAGGTGAGGAGCCCCCCCAACCAGCCGGGCTGAAGGGACCCGCAGACAGCACCCCCAGCAGCAGACTGTGGAGGACCCCCCTAATGTAACACTGGAGTTAAAACCTAACAACTTTAAAATATAACAGCCATATGTAAGATAAAATGAAACTTAAAAGAGTAAAATACATAAGATAATAAATAAATAAATAAATGATAAGAACGTAAAGAATTTAAACAGTCAATTAAAAGCCTGATTAAAAAGGTACATCTTCAAAACTTTTTTCCTTTCTCACTGAAATGTAGTAGAGTGGAACTATAAAGGAACATAAAATGGTAACACCAAAGTAAAGTAAAAGAAAATATTTCAAAATTGTTCCTTAGTAGGGAGTTTGGGTTACTTTTCACTGTGCAAGCAACTTCCATGCAGTTTTGTTTTTATTGGACCTTTATTTAACACTTTAAGACAGATTAAGAACACAGCTCTTACTTTGAACTGTGGCCTGGGTTCCATCCAGGTCCTCAGTAAAATGCTTTATGTTCACCTGACTTGCTCTAACTTGGAACACATAAAAACCCTTTCACCCATAACATCCCTAAACATACATGGAGACAGCACACCCATTCTTCTAACAACCTGTCATCTTCTGTCCCTCCCATCTCCGTGAGGGCAGCACTAAAACACTTCCCTCCAGAAAGTTGCGCAACATTCATGACGCAGGTATTGTTGACGTCTGTGACTGGCATGACTCAGATCGCCTTGGGTTCCTTAAGTGATGAAACGTGTCACGTACATATAATTTGCTGAAATGTGGTTCTGGGCATGCGCTCGTTAAAATACAATCCGAATGCCACCGAAGTGGAAAATTTTGACAGAAGGGATACATTTATTCTGATGCAGAAATTAGTTTTTTAGGTAACAGTACGATGTGCTGTTTTAAATGCACATTGTTAAGTGCAGTAAGCAATCTATATGCACAAATTTGTTTAACAGTCTAATGTTCAGGTGATCCGAGTTAATGAAGTACTCGACTGTCGCAAGAAAGTAGGCATGGCCCGAAAACACAAAGGATAAAGCAATGGTACACTGATTCCCGCTGATACAGGACTTTTAAAAATGGATATGTTCTCACACCTCTATTGAAACCAGACAAAGCAGGTATAATGCGTGGTGATGAAGTTTCACATGAGGACAAAAGAACAGGTCAGAGAAAATGAGGTGAGCGACAGAAAGGGAAAAGAGAAGGATGTGTGTGAATGGGTGGGAATGATCCAGGGCCAGCTGCAAGCAGGTAAGCATTACAGTTATGTGTGCGTTTTATTGCTGCTTTTATGAGAATGAAAATGTGGCACATCAAAACTAAGGAAATGTTTAGAATGCTGTCGTTGCAGTCTTGAAGTCTCTACAATATATCTCAGATTACGTTCGTGCTCGTGCACAGGACAGGGGAAGCACACTGGCACCAGACACATGCAAACTATCTACATCTCAACTGTCTTTCTTCAAAATTGCAGCCTCCACCCTTCAATGGAATAGATTCATTACTGGAACGATAGGAAAGGAGATAAGCAGGCATCAGTGGGTTTTTAGGCATTGAGGTTCAAGAAGTAAATATTGACAGTGTCTTTTGTTTTTTTGTTTTGTTTTTACTCTTATTACTTTTTATCAATTCGAAAGCCTCCTGCGGACAAGTGTTGCGAATTAACACGTGCTAAAACACACAAACAATGCATCTGGTTTGTCCAATGCAATTGTGGTGTCCACATCAAATAAACAATAAATAAATAAATAAAAACAGCTAAACCTGGTTGAGCTTTGAACAGCATGCTAGAGGAAGATAATGCAATGGGACATTTTACCATGAATAACTTGTAATCAAATCTAAAAGTCAAGATATACATATTTCTAGACGCAGAAAAGATGCTTTTATCACACTTATTGTGAAGTGGGCCTTTCTAAATTCACCTCTGGGGTGCAAATATGAAGCACCATCAAACGACTACAAGTCAAACATATTCAATTTAAACTTCTAAAAATTATTAGAGATGGACTGTATTTGGCGAAGCTGTGGTTATCAATAGGCATGTATTGAGGACACTGAAGTATCGAGTTGCAGGTATGTAATGAATGAGGGCAGCAAAGGAGCTCATGTATAGCAAAGTAAAAGATCCGTGTGTGTGTGAGAGTGTGTGAGACGGAGAGAGAGAGAGAGAGAGTGAGGCTCAGTGAGAAAACCAGTCTGTGAATCACACAATGACGTGCAGGGAGGCGTGGTGCAGAGGGTGGGTCCAAACCCTAGGCTTTGGCACCAACCCAGTCCAAGCCCATGTTGCCTATATAAGAAGTTGCCCAGTTGTCCCAGCTTCACAGCAACTCAGGAAACCCCCATCTCTCCACCGTGTGTGTGTGTGTCTTCTCAGTCTCATCAGCCTCCAAGAAGAAAACATGGGTAGACAGAAGGTGTATTTGGACAAACTGGCCCGGTTCTTCCAGATCCGAAACCTGCTGCTCCGTCAGGCCCTTGCAGAGTGTCTTGGTACTTTCATCCTTGTGGTAAGTGTTTGTGTGTGTGCATGCATGGAACTCATGCATCATCTCATACTTTGATACTTCAAAATGTTCTGTATGCTGACAATAGATGAACTCTGCACCCTTTGAGTGTTTTCTTTTCTTGAAGTACCCTCATATTTAAAGTGTTGGAGTTCACTCAATAACTCTCCACACGACAGCATTTGAATTCTATCACTTTTGCATTGTCGTGTTTGAATAGTGATAAGTGATTGTGAAAGAAACTGCATGGAATTAATATGACAGACGTAGACTTCAAAGGGGGAAAAGGTCATTCGTTTTGTATTAGACAACATCAGTCCTCTCTAGATGTGTAAATGAAGGGTTACTTACAATGGCAAACTTGATACAGTCAGATAACAGGTTGTTCAGGAATGCTTGTGATGTGGACAAAACCATATTTGCAATCACACAATAATATTTGCAAGGAGTTGACATCCAGGATCCCGGAGCCAAGACCTTGTGATGCCCTTTCATCACAAGACAGGCCACTAAGTGTGTATTAGAGCAGGCATCATGATAACCCAACATCAGTCACGGAGCTGCACATTTGCTCTTTTAACCACCAGAAACCTCTTATTTTGGCACTCTTTAACAAAGACTGAGTGACAGAATGGTCATTCATCCAACCTTAGGTTAAAAAGAAGACAGAAGAAATATACACTTCTTTTTTTGTTCACCAAGTAACATGCATTCAGACCCCCCAAAAACGAACTTGTAGTTCAGTCGGTCAGACAGTATTGTTCTGTTTGAAGCCTCTTGGGGTTTTTCTTTTATTGGCACTTAGGATAAAATGCGGTTTTACAGTTAATACTTCAAATACGGGTACAACAGCCAGCTTAGTGGGCAACCTGAAGACTCCTGTAATGATTTAATGTTCACTTTGCAGCTTTGCAACAGAGACTCACTTCATCAATCACTCACAGATTTATGAAACTGCTCGTGAATGGAGCAGTTTACACTGCCTAAGTCTGAATTTCATGCAGCTTGCAGGTAATATATAAAAAAGCAAGTTGTATAAGCAGAGATCTGTGGTGGAAAATTACCTACACATGATAAGCCTAAAAATATTCACATATTGTTAAGCACAGGCAGTGACTACTGATTGGACTAAAAGGTGTGGTGTAGTTATTTAACAGATGACACATGTTGATGGCAGCACTGGTGAGTTTTGTTGCAGAACAATAGGTATCACATAGTGGACATATCTAACATAATTTTACGTCCGAGATGACAGATGTCTCACGCTGACTGCTAGAATTTTTCATTTACCATCTTCCCTCTCGAGATATAAACTTATACTTTTCATGTATACATTTTTAACTCGTGTAAAGCTTTAAAAAGTTCATTAGATAACATATTAGTGGATGGTAACTTGAAAGGATGGGTAATGTAGAGGGTGTGTGAAGGCGTGTGCGGGTGTGTTTCTGTATGTACTGACTGTTACATTCTTGGCAGATTATCTGTAGCTCCATGCTAGAATCATTAAAATTGATATTTCTGTGTTCAGTTCATGCAGCAGACATATTTAAAAAAAAAAATAATAATCATTTTTTGGCCACAGGCGGATTTCAATGTAGTGTGTTAGCTGCCTCAGCAACGAGTCTCAATCTGGTTTTGAAAACAGGACCTTGGAGATCACCTGTGGGCAGATAAAATCTCTGGCCATCCCTCTGTTACTGGTTTGGTAACCCCTCTAAAGGTGGACTACATTTTCCACTTCAAGCCAGTGTTCCAGTGTAGCTTTGATCCGTAGGGTAGCTGCAGGAGGGCCTCTGGGGCTCTTCATCCCAAATTTGAAAAGATCACACAGGTAGTGATTTAGAAACTGGTTCCAGGCCAGCCAGCAGACTTTTTTGCCTTCAGCTCCCAGACAATAGCCAAATGTGTGTTTCAGTAGGCTGACTGCTATAGGGGTTTTTTTATAACCTCCCCGACTGTGCTAAAAGTTAGGATTAGCTGCATGGAAGCATGACCAAGCTGAATCAGCCAATTGAATGTTGGCTGCTGGAGTGCAGTTTGCTAACTGCAACAGTATGACAGCAAAATAGCAAGCTGTGAAAATCCATCAACATTGAACATGCAGTCACTGGAGCACCTCAGAGTTAGGAGGACTACTCATAGCTCCCACTTTCAGTGCAATTTAAATGAGACCTTTCTGGTGGAATGTAATCTAAGTAAGGAAGTTGGCACTTGGAAGCTAATGGCCCATCGTGGGTAATCCAATGCCTCTGACATTAAGAAAAAAACTCTGCAAAAGTCCTGAGTTTTAGCATTTTTATTTCTTCATTTTTATCGTGGCGTAGCATCAAGAAGGCGTTCATCCTCGCTCCACAAACAGAACAGCTAAGCACAATCCCAACATGGGGCTGATCCGTGCACAATTTTTCCAGTAATGGCTGGTCTCATCATGGGTGGAAAAGAATTTAGACTGAGCCCAGCGCTGATGACCAGCCCTCAGGCGCCAGTCCCTCTGAGTGTGGTTCCCTCCGGCTAACCTCAACATCTGAGTCGTGTGGTCTGACTGAAAAGCATCCTCATCAGGGGTCTTAGAGCACAGCGTGGACCACACATACTTCTTTTACTAAGCACATGTAAAGAGCACATAAGGATATGCACACACACACACAGGCACATAATCACAATGTATGCCCAACACCTGCTAGGCAGTACTGTTGCGGAAGACAACCCATTCTGTAAGCCCTTCTTTTTTGTCGAAAAACCCACATTTTCTCATTTTGTGTCATTCAAAGTGGAAACTGGAGATTGATTGTTTTTTTTTCCCCTTTTTAGATAAATCAGTCAGGAAGTAGCGGCAACAGTTCCCTGTCCAATCAAGGTCAACATAGCGACCTTTCTGTACATACAGGATTCTGTGCTCCTGTGTGCCATTTTGAACACAATAGAGCTCATTTAATTCTGAGTAGAGCTCATTCAGTAGGTTTTTGTTTCACTGGTTTCACTGATAATGATCACATTGCCTTTTTTGACCCCTTAGCTTGTCCTTCATCAGCCAACAAAGCATTAAATCGCAGTGTTTATGTTTTGTCTTCTTTTACGCCACTGAGATAGTGAATACAGTTGGTTTGTGGTATGCAAACATTTATAGCAGCTTTGACAGCTTACATTAGTTGAATTTAGCTGGGACCATATGAAGAAAAATGTATTTTAAAATCACGCATAAATTTGTCATTACTTGTTGTCTTTCAAACAGGAACAACTGAAGAGCTTTTGTGTGCACATAAAGTTATTGGGACCTAGTCTAAACTTGCTTTTTAATTCTCTCTGCAGATGTTTGGCTGTGGTGCTGTGGCTCAGCTGGTATTGAGTTCAGGTTCCCATGGCATGTTCCTCACTGTCAACTTTGCCTTTGGCTTTGCAGCCACCCTAGGCATCCTGGTCTGTGGCCAGGTGTCAGGTAAACAAACTCATTTATTGGCACTTCTTTTATTTTCAGTATGGGGCAATATGTTTTGAGTGTTACATTTGTCAGATTTAATTTGCAGTACAACATTTCATTGTGCTTTGTACCATATGTTGATATATGTTTAAATCTCTTTAGGGCATTTTTGGTTTTAGGTAAAGTTGTGACCCTGCATGTTTATTGTCTACTATACATACTCACATACTGTCAACATGCACATTTGCAGGTGGCCATTTGAACCCCGCGGTGACCTTTGCCCTGTGCCTGCTTGGAAGAGAGCGCTGGAGGAAGTTCCCCATGTACTTCCTCTTCCAGACCATTGGTGCTTTTTTCGGTGCTGCTGTGATTTTCGGCATGTACTACGGTAAGTCATGACGGCCAGCAAAAAGTCCAAATTTCTTGCCACAACCACAGACAAACAGATTTATGTTTTAGCTTCCATAAAGTCTATCACACTAATCTAAACAAAAACCTATATCTTGTTTGTATCCCTTCAGATGCCTTGTGGGACCATCCTGGATGTTTCAATGTGACTGGACCTACTGCCACAGCTGGCATCTTTGCTACCTACCCCGGAAAGCATCTCACGCTTGTCAACGGCTTCTTTGATCAGGTACTTTTTTGATATGTGAACAGCTGTCATACACAAAATTACAACTTTTACAAGTACATAAATCATAACTTACATGTACCTCTCTCCAACACAGATTATTGGCACAGCAGCCCTGATTGTTTGTATTCTGGCTATTGTGGACCCATACAACAACCCCATCCCTCAAGGCCTGGAGGCCTTCACTGTGGGATTTGTGGTTCTGGTCATTGGATTGTCAATGGGCTTTAACTCTGGCTATGCTGTCAATCCTGCCAGAGACCTCGGACCACGTCTTTTCACCGCCATGGCCGGGTGGGGTGTTGAAGTTTTCACGTAAGTGCACAGATGTCAAGCGTTTTTCCCATCGTTTGTCTCAATGCAAATTTTTCTCACAGCGCTCTTGCACTGCTCTTTATTTGTGGATCCACATTCACTCTCTTTCTGTCACTCCACAGGGTTAGAAATGGATGGTTCCTCGTGCCTATTTTTGCCCCCTTCCTTGGCACCATCATCGGCGTGATGATCTACCAGTTGATGGTTGGCTTCCACGTGGAGGGAGAAGTACGAGACCAGAAAGAGGGCACAGAGCAGGAGAATGTCCGACTGACCAACGTCCACTCCAACGACAACTCAAAAGAGGCCACCAAAGAAATGCACTGAGTGCGTCAGAGATATGCAGCTAGTCACTCTAAAACATGCACTTGTAAATACTGTCACACCAGCGTTTTTTTTCCCTCTAGCCACAACTATGTTTTTCAAATCATCTTCTGTTGGGATACCTCCCAAGATAGTTGTGTGTTTGTGAAATCAGGCCACGTTCTTTATATCATCATGTGATTGTATTATACTGTAGAGGAATGATTGTGTATGAGTAGAAACACAACTTCAGAAACACAGAATTACATTAATTCTTTTAAGAGATGAACATTTGGATCTTAGTGTCTATAGCACTCTAGAGTTAACAGTATTGTATGCGTCATACCAGTATAGTTTTATGTAGCCTTTTTTATTTTATATAGAGTTTTACATACTTTATAAACAGTAGGTGTATTTAGACAGATGTACTTTTTCCCACAAAGTTTCTATGCATTTTCTCAGTCCAGATCCTTTCAATGTTAATATCTCAATTCAGGGAAATTGTCAGGAAATTGGGAAATTAAAATTTCAAACTTTAACTTAAATGTTTAAATATCTGTCATATAGTACATATCTGTTTAACAAGAATATGGTGCATTTTACTTTCTGTACACAACAGCAAGTGACATAATCCTGTGTAGACTACATCAACTGTTGTGTCTAGAGCTGACAGACAGTGGTTAGTTTATAACCTTCCCACAACATTCTCCACTTTACCGCTGCTGTCTCGGATCAGTTGTACTAAAACTGCTGTCTTTTTATAGACGGTCACAACTCTTGGAAAAATGTTTTAACCAATAATTCCAAATGGATCATTTACCCACTCTATGAACTAAATCAGAGGCTATTATATCCTTCTTGTTTAATGCTTGAAATTTGTGCTAAACCACAATTAACTTCTTCTATGTACAGAACCATATTAACTATTAATCCTATGTTCATGTATACCTGTTGATGTGTTTGTGTCCACGGTTGGGTGTGAGACTGGACAGTGAGTGTTTGTGTTTTGTATGTAGGTTGAGAGGAAATGCTTTTGTACCGATACAATAAAGTTCTGTTTTTTATTGTTGCATGAATGCGGCTCATGTTACTCTCTTGTCACAGTTTTTTTTTTCTTGTTTGTCACAAATGCTTCTCATTTCTGGAGGAGATTGTAATCATATTACAAAAAAGCAACTGGGCATACTAGTGAGTTAACAGTCTACATAACACTTGTTTACAGAAGAACAGCTTCCTGTTTGTGGTGGGACAGAAATGGGTCAGATCGAGTAGGTTGTGCAAACTCGCTTCTCAGCAGACTGAATGAATGTTTTGAAGTCTTCGAAGTTATTTATTTTAAAAGAAAAGAGGGCACAACATTGGTAAATGGAAGCATTGTGTTTCTTTTACAAGATAATTAGAAGAAATGAAACAACAAGGGAACTTGGAACCAAGGCTTCAGTCAGGGGTAGAGAAAATGTGAGAAATACAACACCACATAGCACAAAGTTTGTTTAAGATAAACTCCAGATTGGGTCAGGAAAAAGCAAAAATGTTTGCAATAGCAGCTCATTTTTAAAAAAGTAATTATAATCTGTTGTGTCTGTTTTGTGATTCTCAATGATTAGGATTCTACCAAAGGTCAAAAGTTGAGAACTAAGCAAACAACAAGACCGAGATCTCTCCATTCAGTCAGCTGCGCTCTTTAATAATGATTTTATGTTTCCAAAAGGAGACTTGCTCCATCATTATGCTGTGAGCAACAGTATTTTAGACTGCTATTTCCAGACTACGCTTTATTTCCGAGCATACCTCAGTATCCACAGACCAGAACTGGGCCACTGTCCTTCAGCACATAAATCATATCCAATCTGTCCTGCTTGTCCAGGCCAAACACTCATTCTTGCCTACATGTCGTTTATCAACAGAATATGGAGACATGTGCTAGTGGTTGGTCTGCGTCCAATGCTTTATATGCCTACTCATGGTCAACTTTTGACTTGAGAATTTCAGGAGAATCATACAAAGGGCTGATGTGTTCTTGAAGCGTTTGTGTTCAGGCCAGCCAGTATGAATCACTGGTTTTACATAATAGTTTCTAACAGGTCGGAGCAGGTCACCCTCCATGTCTGGACTAGAATACTGGCAAGAATCTCACACACATGGCCATGCAGTCCAAATATACCAGTTTGGAGTGTTTTTTGGTTAGATGGAAAGCACTTAGTATATTATACTGAGTGAATATGACAAATTTAGTGTTACTATAAAGAGCGTTTTCCTTTAAAATTACTTTAGTAACTGTAAAGTGCATTTGAAAGGACGAGAGTAAAACCCACACACTTTTCACACATTATAGTGTATAACCTGGTCTTTATCAGAGACAAAACATATTTTACTGTTGTTATTACCACAGGAGATACTGATAAACATGTATAGGTACCCCTAATACTTTCCAGGGTTTCCTGTCTGTCACACTGATTGATATTATAAATTTAATAAATTGAGGACACCGAATTGAACACAATGTTTTTTAAGTAGCTATAGTCAATATGTTTATAATCACAATGGATCACATCACTCCCTGTATGTGAAGGTGGTCATTCAAACAGATATCAGCAGCAGCATTGGCCAACAAAGGCTTTAAAATGAAATATTTACATTAGATCAAAATGAACACTGACAGGTAGGTAATGCTTGTCAGGCTAAAGGTTTACAGTTTTGTTTAAAAAGGTTACATAAAATTAAATATGGTATGTTTTACATGTAAATTGAGGTAGTTTCCTTATTTTGCATCGTGAATATGTACATTTGTAAAGGATGGAGGTTAGTGTTTGCCCCTGCCAGTGGGTCCTGATGATACCAGTAGGCTTAACCATTTATGGGGCAAGTGACCATATTTGGTAACTTCCTTGGACGTTCAATATGTCCACACTGTGCCTCTCCTTGAGGTTGAAGAAACATGAGCGCTTTGATTTAGTTTTTATATTAGTGCCAATATCATTACCTTACAAAAAATGTCGCTAAACAAATGTTCCAGGCACTTTATAAACGCTTTGTTACTGGTTTGCATTTGACTCCACTTTGATTTATTTTTTGAGATTATTGCCACAAATACCACTACCCCAAGAAAAATGTCACTGAATTAACTTGCCAAGCACTTTATAAATACTTTGTTACTGGTTGTATCATTACCTCAAACTAAAATGTTTCTAAATTAATGTTTTTTGCAGTTTGTTACTTTTTCTTTTATTTAATATAAGTTCCCTCTTTTTTTCTTTATTCTTTTTTTTACCGTAGACGCGCAATTACCATATACGATAACTTTTTTCATCATGATTTGCAAAATTTGTTTTTGTTTAAGTCACAAAAGTTTAAAAAAAGATCTTGAAAAAGCCTTCAATACCACCCTAGGGTTGGATTTCATCTTCCAAGTATTTCAAGGAGTGCCCTATAAAGGGCTAATCATAAATTAACTCTATTTGAGGAGAGACTTGATGTTCTTAGCAATTAGGTATAACGAGCAAAATGGATACATTGGCATCAACATCAGCAGCCATTCTAAATGAGATGGAAAAATAGGCATGACCAAACATATTGTGTATCTCTAAGTTTTTACCATTGGTTGGCAATTGTTTTAAATTGTTTTCAGGAGAACACTCTTAAAACAGACTGTACTCAACCTGCTGAAAACTAAATGGCAGACAGCCAAAGATATAAACTAGTGGGTGAACATCGTGGAACACTTAGCAGCTCGAGAGCCTGATAATTCCCTCAGGAGAAGGTGGAGACCAAAAACAGAGCAAGTTGTTGTTGGTAGGTATGCTTTTGACCTCAGTTAAGTTTATATCCTACTTTAATTCTTTATGCTAAGCTAAGCTAATCAACACAGGCAATGAAATAAAAGTTTGTGCAAGGTGACTGCAGTGCAGCTGTAAACACATTGCAATGACATGAGCAAGGCCTAATAGCTTCCTCGAATGAAGGAAATTCGTGTAAAGCGATCTAGATACGCTCTTGAAGATTGTTGGCAGTAATGCAAGATATAGACAATCTGCAGTTAATTGACTAAAACATGTAAAACCACTAGTATGGTCGTTTAAAGAGCTGATTCAAACAGCACTCACCAGCGTTATGGCTGTCAACATGTGTTTTCTATCATGAGCTGTCTTGCGAGGTACAGTTCACTGCCTGAGGCTCTAGCGGAATTCTACCATTAGGTCAGATTTATGTATTATTGTTTCGGCAAATTTTCACCCATTATGTTCTTAAATCATCACAGCATTGTACTGCATAAGATGGCAGGTCTGTCTGAATCACGGGCATTTATTATGTCTGCTGTACGGACCAAAATACTTGTTAAATCTCTGTTGACATCATTTGCTATGTGGCCGAAAAGATGCAAAGACAAGCCGACCAGGTGTCTCCAGGAAAAAACACAAAAGAAAATGCTGCTTGTTTCAGCAAGTCCTCGACTTTATGAGGAAAACAAAGATGTGAAAGTTTATACTAAGCCCAGAGGTGAGGCACATAAGCTTCTAACAACATCTTGTAGCAGGGGGCATGTCTGGACCCCATGAAGGACTGGTATAAAAAAACAAAAAAGAAATACCCCTTCTTCCCGAAACAGAAGGCTTTCATGCTAAAACGATATAATACCTTCAATATAGCATCTCACATACCAAGTATATTCGTTTTTACAGGAGTTGGTGCTCAGTATACCTGTAAAATCTCCATTTCATCCCCTAGGCCAGGCTGCTCATGCCAGAGTCTCATCAAAGCATTTGCACCTGGCCAGATTTCAGCATTGTATAACGTACTTTTAGAGGAAAAACAAGTTGATGGATATGCGGATAAACACCAGCATTCTTTATTTAACATTATGGTGTCAGAAAGAAAGAAAGAAAAAGTAAGAAAGAAAGAAAGGTGGCAGACAAAGAGGTGAATTGGCCTGGTAAGTTCAAACAACTTTCACCTCATGTTTTACAGAGCAATAAAATGCTTCTCACACAACTATATGTACAGACTGGGAGGCTAATGGCCTGTGTTGTTATACATAGTACCAAACACTTAGGGGAAGAGTGGGTACCATGTGCAGGCCATGTGTGATAACACAGTATTTACTTTGAAGCTCCAGTGAATCCAAATAAGAGACAGCTACCTCAACAACCTCAATAACTTTGGAGGAATTTGATGATTCCCATCCAGTTACAATAATTCTTAATAATGTTCACACAGTAGTTCTAACGGGCAAATTTACACGAGCAAAGCCATAACCTGTGGTGCACCGAATGCAATTTCCAACAGCAACACGATACACACAAGCACGTCATTGTGAAACACATGTTAAATATGTAAACATCTTCTGATCATGTTGCTGAGCCATTCACGCTGTCTGCTCCACGTACACAGCGAGCGTAACAAACGGATCCATGCCGTGCAGTAGCTGGGTCTGGATGAGAAAATAAGACGGAGAATGTAACAAGTCAGATCCTTGACAGTTAACACACCACACACAAGCAGAAAAAAATATAACACTCAACATGCATCAATAGCCTCATCAATTAAGTTTGTGCAGCATTGTTATTTGCTAGTAAAGCAATGTATCAAAATGAACCCGGCATTTAATCTGAGGTATGCTGATCCACTCAGATTAGCCAGATCTCAATATTATGCCTTTAACTTTAATCATTCTTGAAAACATTCTACATGGCTAACCAAAATAAGGCTGGACAGGCATTTCAAACCCCAAGAAATCCTGAAAATTGTGACCGCATTTCAGTCTTTCAAATGTGGCAGGGAGGAATGCATTCTTCAACTGCTTTTAGGTTTAATTGGGTCTCTAAAAACGCGTGAATTATTGCATTCCAGACTACCAAAAAAAATGAAAAAGGAATAAAACAAACTTGGCCACAGTTAGATGTAATTTTCACCAAGAAAAAGAAATTAAGTCTGCTCAGTAATGTGCAAATGTTCAATATTTGCCTGCAACTTTAAACAACTAACCCTTTGTGAGAACACAAAGTTGATGTAGTTGGGTTTTTTTCACAGTTGAGTGCAGAGAAGTGATCGGCAAAAGAATTGTTAGTCACACATCCACAGTTTAACAGTTTTTGCCATGACGGTCATGAACACAGACTTAACAAAAACATGTGCAAAATGTTAGCATGTTTCTTTCTGGAAATGAAACTGAAGGGTGGCCATCGTGTATTACTGAGAAGGAAATGGAGGATGTTCATAAATCTGGAGTCTTTAGATCACATCTGGTTAGTGTTGCTTCTCCTCCTTCCTTCTACTCTTCTCCTGCTTTTCATCCCAGCTTCAAATACTAGAAGGCCGTCGAGACCACTTCACAGTCGAGTTAGATTTCTTGCTGTTTCGTGCTGGCTGGTGGCTATTTATACGATCTACCTCTCTGCAAGGTCGTGCGAAGGTCAAAGTAGCCTCATGAGTTTTTCTTCACCCCTCTCTCATATGGCATAATCGTGACGAAGGGATGAGAAGGAATGCGACTGAGGTTATTTTGTGGTCTTCGGTCTCTCTAAGAAACTATTGTTTACCCAACAGTACACAGGCGATTGCGCACTTTTCTCAGGTATGACACATTTCACCAAACGAAAAACACAGCAGGTACAGCCACGTCCGTGATCATTTGCATGCTGACACAAATTTCGTAATTTGTTCATCGCCACAGTGGATTTGAAAGGAAGCAGTCAAGCAAAATTGATTGTATAAGTAGTTTGAAAGCCTTCTAGTTTTTCACTGTTGATCCCACTGTCTTATATTGGTAGTCTTTGGGTGGTGTGCTGTTTTAAATTCTTTTTTTGTGGCAGGTTTATTTCATGATAATGTTTATTTTTAAAAAACAACAAAGCTGCATTCTGTCCTAAAGGTGTAAGCTACTTGGGAAATAACCCTATAAAAGGCAGGAACAAGTAGAAACATCAACTATATAAACTCAGAGAGGTTGGCAAATGAACTGATCTGAGGAGTCTATTGACGAGAGGCTGTGAAACTGAATATGTGATCTGCCAGGTACTCAGAGTGCTGAGTCAGTTCTCTCACACACCCCTTATTCACACAGGTGTCACTCCCACCCTCCTCTGTCTTAACAGCAAAGAGACACGTTGGTGCACATACAGTGTAACCTGTATTAGGACATTAGAGCAACACACTGGATCTGACGTGACACAGTGACAACCTGGTCAAAGTGCTGACTTTTACTTAAGGTGTGTACATGATCCATACTGGATGAGTGCTGTATAGGGTCATGATTTTGACACTATTCATCCCATGTGTATGTAAAAAAAATAATATAGTATTGTTATATTTAAGATCCAATGTGCTGGAGTAAAGAGTAGAGGCGTGTCACTTCCCAAATACAGACTGTGTGTGGCAGCGCTACTACAACCAGCAAATAAAAAAGTAAGTGAAGCATGGGTTACACTCAGATTTAAGGCCAAACACAAATATTAAATAAGCTTCCTCTGCCCAAAAAAAGAAAGAAAGGAAATAACATGCATTTTTTAATCTGGCATGTGGATGTGGTTTGGAAGGGTGTGGGATACCATGTCATTTTCAGGTTGCGGTGTGCTGTTCAGTAAACTTTTTGCCCTCTCATTAGTGTAAATGCTACCAGCAGGAAGAAACAGGGTGTGATTGGTGTTACTTTTTTTCTAGAAAAAAACAAAACAAAGTTGTTTACTAGAGCTGCATAGAAAAGAAGAACAAATTTGAAACGCACCAGCGACACCAGTAGAAGTTTAAATGTAAAATCATTGGTATGTTTTGTCCCAACGCAGCTCTGCTCATTATTGTTAAAATGAAGGAGAGATCAAATTAACCTGCCCAGCAACACCCCGGCCTCTCCCCAACAAACAGTAAAAACAGCCTTTGGTTTTCTCTTGTAAACAGACTCCTCCTGCTGGGAAGTTTCCGTGCCACAGGGAAAAGCCATGTTTTCTGCAACCTTCACCGTAATCATCATCTACTTACCATATCTGCGATACCTGCGTCCCTACAGACGCTCTGATGTAATTACTACAAATGATAGTTAAGTCGGTAATCATTTCCTGCTCACCGAGGACAACATTAAACCATGGGGAACGTGTTAATGTAAGACAAACAGTGAGGAATTAAAGCTTTACATTATACATCATGCCACTATTCTTTGTATTCACATAAAAAATCAATACAAGTCAAGTATACATGTCATTTTATTAGCAAGTTCACAGGTACAAAAATATTTTAGGTCAAAATACTAACACCACAAGTATATCAATGTAAGACGTCAGTGATAGTTGACAAAACAGTATCTAAGCTGGTTTAGGATCTTAATCTCAATATTATATTTTTTTCACAGTAAATTTTAAGAATGAGAAGACAATCAAGTGCTTAAAACAAATTAAAGTTCATGGGAAATGATCAGATTTCAATTACTGATGAAGATTGTGTAAAATCAAAGGAGGTCAGAATTTATTTTTTTGCTTTGTTAACGGATGTTTCCAAAGTAGCATAACAACACTATTAACAGTTCAAATTAATCAAAGTTTATGTAATCTTAGTTAATCTTAAAGTAAGTGAATAGAAAAATCAACAATTAGAAACTAACCAAATTCAGACAACAATTACTTTGTATGTAAACTAAGTTAAGATTTTCATCTGAAACATCCTAATGACTCTATATTATGACATGGAGCACAAACTAAATAATACTGAAATCGATCTGTTGTATGAGACCAACTTTAATCAATCATCTGCCACCAGTTGTGTTTCTTGCAACAACAAAAACGCTGCAATGCAACAGTAGTTACATTTTCCTGAAGAAGCCTATAAATCCTAATATTGTACAGTGTGAGGCTCAGGAGCCGTGTTGTGTTGTGAGATGCTGTTAGGAGAAGAGGGTTAACTGAAAATTGACTTTAGACCTTTTCAATTTTTACAATTGAGCAAATACATAAAGAGCCTTCTGAACTGGTGACAGAACATAACAGCTTTCATCATCAAACTGGGCCTACATCATCAGATCAGAAGTATTTGTCCAACTACAGGCATAAGCCATGGTTGCCTTGTTGAGCCCTTAAATGGTACCTATAGCAAGTCTACAAACAATGGCTGGATGCTTGAACATTCATTTTACAGTCCTTCCATCCAGCAAGCATTCCCCAGAATGTTCAACACCAGAGGTCCAGATTTAGCATTTTGAAAACCTACAGCCTCGTTTATGCTCAACACTTTTCCACTCGTCAGCTTTACATTCACTCATCTTCCTCTGAGAAGAAACAGTCTGACAATGATCCATTAACTTTTACATTTAAAAAAAATAGAGGGAGCACGATCAATTATTGAAATTTTCAAACAGTAGAAAACCTTACTTTGACTTGTTTTTCTCATTTTCTCTTCAAAATAAACTCCGCTTCAGACACATTCAGAAGGTAACACACATTCTCTTGCACAAAAAAAACAGTGTATCTTTACACTGTTACCACATTTACATCTATTCTCATTTAGCAGTACAACCTTCAGGCTTCATACAGTGGTGTAACAGTGCCATCCTTCCACTCAATCAAGATTTCTCCTCGTTGTAAAGCTGGGGAGGAGTGTGGGAGACGCATGGCATGCTCGGTCAGTGGGGCCTTTTCACTGGGCACTGGTGACCCGGGAACACTCATCTCTGGTCTTGGAGTGTACGACTTCAAAACACATACCACCTTCTTCCTTCTGCACGGCAGAAAAAAAAAAAAAAGAGAAAAATGGGTGGAGGTGCAATAGTTTGCAGTACTGTCCTTTGAAATTTCTTATCAAAGATTTCTTTCATTGTCTTCCCCAACAAGGTCTGTCATGTTTTTTGGTTTTATGGTCTTGTGTTTCAAAGGCCTCATGACTTTCAAATTTCCCAAATCTGATCAAATGTTTGTTGCAACATGTTTTAAAATTGCTTACTTCTTTAATACAGCACTTGCAAAACTTTAGCTATTGTAAATGATTTCATAAGCAAACTAATTGATGAATCCACTTATGATTTCAACAGTAAATCTATATAAACAATGTGTGTGTTTAGGGACTCACCTATTAGAGTAAACATTGAGGATAAGAATCACAGTCCCCAAGACCAGAGCCAGAGAGCTTAGTACCAGCATGGTTATCTTCCAGCCCATCCCTATACATATTTACATATACAGAAATGCATTGCTCATTTCAACAACCCACATTTCAGCTCATATTTACCTCTTTATAAATTATGGTTCTTGTTCACACATTGGTTTAAGTTTTGTCAACACTCCAGCCTGTAAATAACAGCCTATTGAAGATAGCTCACAAACCTAACACTTTCTGGTTTGCTCTGTTACTCATGCAACTATCTCCATCTAGTGGTGGAAATTTGCACTGAATTAGGACAATCATTACAACTTTGATGTCCATCCATCCATCCATCCATTATCTATACACCGCTTAATCCTCACTAGGGTCGCGGGGGGGCTGGAGCCTATCCCAGCCGACTTGGGGTGAAGGCAGGGGACTCCCTGGACAGGTCGCCAGTCTATCGCAGGGCTACACTTACAGACAGACAACCAAGCACACTCACATTCACACCTACGGACAATTTAGAGTCACCAATTAACCTCAACATGTTTTTGGACTGTGTGGGAGGAAGCCGGAGAACCCGGAGAGAACCCACGCTGCATGGGGAGAACATGCAAACTCCACGCAGAAAGATTCCGGTGCCCCCACCGGGATGCGAATTGGCAACCTTCTTGCATCTTGAAATTAAACATTTCAATGAGTAAAATTGAACATATATAGATTTCAGTGTTTAAAGTTTGCCAACTTACCATAGTCCATACTGAAAAAAATCATGGTGGGATCTGCAGGGGATGAATGAGTGGCATCTATTACAGAATATGGCTCTGTGACATTAGTGGCCATTATACCTTCAACTGAAAGTGAACAAAAAAACAAAAACAGAAAAGAAGTCAATAAGTGATCTAGACACAATGAGCAAAATCTAACATTACAGTTTTGATCTTCTAGTTTGTGCAAACATTTTTTTTGGGGGGGGGGTGGGGTAGCAGCAGTTGTGCTTGTCTGTCTTGGGTAGTGAAGGCAAATCACTTCATGCACGACCAGCTCCATGTAAAGACACAACATGAATCAGCATGTTTCATGGAGTGGCTGGCAGCTTTCCAAGATCAGGACTATATTGACCAGAAGCGCACTTAACTCAATTAGATACTCAGGCTAAAAGCAGGCCCACTATGATCTAATCTGCAGGCCACAGCAGAATACATCATGTAGACATATGGGTGGTTTTGTACATTTTAGCGAAAACTACAGCTTGCACACATTTAATTTTAATGCCAATGCTTAATGCTGGGACCAGTTTCTTCTAAAGCTAGTTTCAGTTCTCTGCAAGTAAACATACATGCACTTGCAAGACCTCAAACGATAAATCTATCTAAAAACCTCATCAATATGATATGAGAATTGGCTACAAATAATGTCAAGCAATTCCATTATTGTTGATACAATTTGTAACACAAGGTGATTAAACTATGACAAAAACAGAGGCCGGACCTTCAGGAAAATGTATGTCACATCTATTAGAAAACTACTCTACGTGAGATACGTTTATGTGCTTACATGTTTCAGCCTGTCTGTGTATATCAGAGACATCACTTGGAAAAATCCCAGGTTCCAAAGATTCCCCCACATGGTGGTGATGTTGGTTTGGGTTATGTTTGCTGTCTCTACCACTGCACAATGTCTGGTTGTCAAGTGTCCGCCACCTGCTGCCCTGTTTGCAAAAAAAGAGGGAGGTAAAAGAACATCCAGCTAGCATAAGGTTTTTCATACTTCCACTTTGTAGCTAAACATATCCTACAATATAAATTACCTCTCCAGTGTTTATGAACATTTAAAATAATCTGCCACCATCAAAACATTGTTACCTGTTTATGTTCCCTCGAAAGGAAGACCAAAGTGGATTCTTGTGTAGCACTGAGGTGCAGCCCCCTCCCCATCAAAGTGAGGTGGCCTTTCTTGGAGCAGGCCCACGTCTGGCTGCTTGCCTCTCTGCCCGTTTCCACCTCTGCCCCTCCATCACCAGCCTTGTCACTTCCAGCTCTGAAGATGCATGGCTGCAAGCGGACACCTTCGTACTCCTCTCTCGGTGCAGTCAGACACTCCCCAGTGTGGTGGCTGCTGAGAGCCTGGCTCTCCGGGAGCCAGCGCCATTCTTGCAAAAGTGATTGTGGGCTGCATTCCTCCAGTGACACCCTCCCTCCAAAAGCTCCCTCGTGGACCTGTAGACATTTACCCAGCAGCTTGTTCCGAATCTTTAAGGCAGACCCCTCTGTGAAACAACAACATACATTTTCTAAATAAACCAAAGGTGAAGGTGCTGTCCCAGTGGAGCACCTTGGAATATGAAGAGTTCATTTGCAAAAACAGATAACTCCATCTACACAAACCTTCAGAAAACCCACTTTTCCATCGTCTACCTGAGACAATATCAATCAAACTTAAGTCATCTCTATTTTTGTCGTGTCATTTCTACTGAGTCAAATCCACTCAACTTCAGTTTGATTGATGCTATCTCAAGCAAACAACAAAAAATATACCTTTTCTGAAAATCTACAAAAATGGAGTTATCTGTTTTTGCAAATGAACTCTTCATATAGATTTTGAAAAGTGCTATATGAATAAAGGCTATTATTTTACAATGTAGTAAGCTAAAAGAAAAAAAAAAGACTCAACAAAATTCGTGCAAACCTGGGATTATGGCTTCACTTCTGACATAATATAGGCACAGTTAGGTGGTATTATATTCTGCAACTGAAGACACTTTCTCATATTAGAAAATACAAAAGAGAAATACACTGGTGTATCATTAATATTCTGATTGTCTTGCATTACAGGACTTAACAACAAGTATCCCAAATAAGAGGACTTCATAATTACGTAGAGTCACCTCTGTAGTCGGCATACAACTGAAGCAACACGTGCAAGTTATCTTGATCTAACTTAACAGACAGGTTTAACTTTTAAACTGTTTTTTTTAGCTAGCTAACGGCTAGCTAACATACTCTGTTGAAGGCTAAAGGACCCACAGGTTGGGCTGAACAGGTAAAGTTTATAATTTAGCCACTTGTGGCGACGAGGGGGTAACGCCTCTGAATATTGTTCAACTTTCTCAACAATAAAAAAAAGTCTTTAAGCTCTTTAAGATACGACGTACCTTCACATTATGGACACTTTCAGAAATTAATACAGATTTATGGCCATTACTGCTCGCTGCGTCTTAACTTTAAGCTATCGCGATATTAAACTGCCAACCGAGTTAAAACTACGTGCGTTTATGTTTGCTAGCTGAATTAGCAAATTAGCAAGTGGTTACAGTTTTTTTTTTTTACCTTCGAAAATGACGAAGACAAGCAAACAGACACACAGCAGATGTCTATCCATGGCGATGCAGGGCTCACTTGGTGTGGTCTCTCCGTGACACTGTGCGTGTTTCTATTTAGCAACAGCAGCAAGTGGGAGGAACAAAACTTGGAGCAGCGTCTCTCTGCGCATCCATCACATTGATGGATGAATAGAGCTCCTGGATTCCTTCCAGAAGCTCTTAAGGGGGAAATGCATGATGCTGTATCTGTGTTTTTTGCAAAAATCTGTGTGACTGTGCAGGCAGCAAACTTATCTGAATCTCACCAAGATTGCTGTAATAGATTTTAAAATCTTACCATTGTAGCTGTTCTGCTCTCCACCTGTGACTTACTGGTCATCATACTACACAAACAAACAAAAAACACTTTATACGGCCTTATAAGTTTTATATCTTTGAAAAATATGCACATCTGATGTACACATAGCTCATACACACTCCTTGTTTACCACGATGGTGGGCTAGAAAAAGTGTTTACGACCACTGTGCCACAACTCCATGGACTACTAATTAGTTTTAAAGAGCATAAATCTGCTATAAGGAGAAAATAGTGTACAGCCAGTTGAATAGGATTGCCCCAGTCGTTACTGTGAGGAATGGGACAGCTTTTGGGGCCTGCCTGGTCACATGATGTTTTTCTCTGTCGTGATGCACCTCAAAAGAATGTGATCTAAAAAAATCTAATCAAAGTCCCCTTTGGCCTACATCTCTTACAGTATGTTGTTGTCTGTGAAACATTTGAGGTTTGTATCAAAATTGGATCAGTCGTTTTCCACCTTGGTCCCCTTTAAAACCTGCAGGTGAAGGTAAAGGGCAAAAATCATTTGCTGTGTGTTGCCGTACACAAGGATCTGAGTTTAAAAAAATAAGGAGTCAAGTAGAAATTGGTATTTAAAGCTTTATTGCACTTAATTTTATAATTACACTTAACACAAACAACACTGTCCCACTTAGTGCTGAAATATTTGGTTACACGTTTCAGTCTGCTTCACCTTCACAAGGTATATGGGTGTCTAAACACTTCCATATATACAAATATATATGTAAACACACGAGAAGCGCCCTAATCATCCAATCAGAGGACTACTTAGATTACTCAGTCTGATGATCAATTGAAACTTACTTTAACCATGTAAGGTTAAGGGTTTGTCAACATAACCTTATCAAGATACAAAATCACACAATATAATGACAAACACAAATCTTAACATCCAAATAACCTGAAAAATCTTAACATCATAAGGCAATTTTAAAATATCTTCAATTTTACTTATCAAAGCATATAAAATCCATTCTGTAAATAAGTCAAACAGAAAAAGAGACAAATATATAAATTTGTCAAGCATTTGCAATATCATTGTACATTAAAATGACATTCAGTAGTCATAGGTCAAGCAATACCATCTCATAATTAAGTCGCATGACCGCCAATTCATCTGTGAAAATACATAGTAACGTCCAGGTAATTTACATGGCAAAAACAAAAAAAGGCATTCTGGGGTTACTTAAAAGTGAAGAATCAGTGCATATGCCATAAGATAGGCCTCTTCACCAAAATTAATACCAGCCTATTTAAAAAACTTTAATTATATTTTGATAATACAGAGCTCAAGAGTGTACCAGGAGTTGTAGGTATCTGCAAAATCATCTACTCTTTTCGACATGATAGGTATGCAGAGATTTTTTTAAGCACATTTGAAAGCAGTAGCAGCTTGATGGATTGGATTATAAATAGTTGAAATGCCTTTATCCTCTTTAGCATTTTAACATTATGCTATGTGTTGCATCATGTTAAGAGCTCAGCTTTTGTGGTCTGACTCACTCCTGCCGAGAAAATCATGAGCAGAAGGGTAAAGGGCCATATAGGACGGAGGGACTTCTCCCTGTGGCAACAGAGGTGGAGCTCCAGGTACTGGAGGCTGCACTGAAGGCGGCGGGTAAGCTGCAGGTGGGAAAGCTGCAGCTGCAAAACCATACGGAGTGGTTTGTTGTGGCCACTGGTTATTATAGCCACTTGTCACTTGCTGAGTGGGATCCGGTGGGTACTGAAAAGCACCTGGGCCTGCGGGTACAGGATTCGGTCCCATAGGGAAGGCAGGAGGAGGGAAATCGCTATAACTTGGCCCCATAGGCTCACCAGCCTGAAATGCAATAACACTTGAAGGAACAACGACCAGTGGAAGCACCACTTCTGGGTCAAAGGCAAAACTAATGTCCACATATGCCTGGGAAAGAGAGAAAAGGAGAAGTTGGTCTACACTTGTAACAATGCATACACCTATTAATTCAGTTAATTGTGCTGATATATAAACATGAATATTGTGTGTTATTATACTGCAAATGTTTATGCAGCATCTTATGCTAAGCAAAGACAACAATTACCTATGTGTATTATTTCAATGTTTGCAAACAGAAGCACGATTGTCATTTCTAACTTCATGTAACATCACAAGTACATTGTTAGATACCTTAAGGTAGTATTCAACTGAGATGATATCACAGTTATGGAGAGTGTACATGGCATCATCAGGAATCTTCACTTGGCAGATGGCTGTTGCTTCAGTGTTTGGAAGGATAGTTTCTCCAACTGACTTGAACAGCTTTTCCTCACGGACATCAGTGGCATTACCGGCGCGGTACACTTGTCTCTGCACTAAACTGAATTTGGACTTCACATCTTTGCTAGAGTTGTTATGGATCTTGGCAACAGCAGATACAGTGTCACCTATTGAAAACAGATCATGACATCTGTAAATGCACTGATTTTTTCCAGAATAACGTCACCACATTGTATGATTAATTGTAATTGTATATAATTTTTTAACTACACTGCATGTAGATATATAACTAATACTGGAACAGCCTTCATATGCCGTTGTAACTGATCAATGTACAAAGCTGTAAACATCTGATATCAACAGACAACACAGTGCGTTGTCAGCATTTGGTTGTGTTACTAAGCTGCCGTCACTTTACCTGGAGAGCAAGCCTTTCTGTTAAAAGTGGCAGACAGATGAACCTCTCCTTTGGAGAAAGTCCCCACTTCTTTACTCACTGAATGAGACTGTGGACACTGTAAATTAAAAATAAAAATCTGAAAACATAACTTTTTTTCATTTCAAATGAATTGTCATGTTACTGTCACATTTTTGCAGCTTTGAGCCATTTTCAAAGAATCGAATTCATAACATTTTTTACCATACCGTCCCACTTACCATGGCTTGCCCAACGTGTGGAAAGGACTTTGAAACAAATGTGATCTCTTTTTCTACAGAAGTAGGAAGTCGCCAGCTCCTTGATATTCTTGCTTCAAGCATGTAGACAATTCTTCCACTATACCCCTTAAAGGATGACGGCATGTCCCTGTAAGACAGAGCCAGTACATGAATGCACTTATTTGCGAACGTGAACAATGACACTACAAATGTTAAAAGCAAGAAATTTCACTTACTCATGTGGGATTTTTAACTTGAATTTGAACTGATGGGGCCCTTTGGGAAGTACTCTACCTGCTCAAGAAGTGACAATGATTAACACCTTTTTTGGAGACTTTACAAATATCAATGTTTTCACAGAGCTTGATTGATATGTTTTATATGATGGAAAGTTCACACAGGCAAATAAACTTGATTTGTGGGTACCAACTTTGTGTATTATGTGCAGGAGCTTATTTCAAAATATGTTTGAAGATGTGTCTTTTAAAAAAAGGGCTATGATGTACAGTATACATACAAGTAGAGTGTGCCATAGATAGTGTTTTGAAGGGGCACAGTGACACAACCCCACGCTGTTGTCATGAAACTTTTAAATTCATGATAGAAATTTACGAGCAACTCAGATTAGCTCCATGTCACGGCTATAAAGCCTTTCACATCCTATCAACAGAATAAATATTTACTGTTCAATGTCATGCCCTCTGCTTTTACTTTAAACCACCTCTGGCTGTTCTCTTACTTTCCTTTTCTCCCTCTGGCTGTGACTAAATACAGGAGTGGAGAGCGGCAAGGAAGCCTTGGTCACCGGACATCATTCATCTACTTCTGCTATAAATGTATATTTCCCGTAGACTCAGACCTGTCTGTTCTGTTGCTGACTCGCCGTTGACTCTTGTTTGCTCTGCCACCAGTTACCTGATCTGCCCCGACTTCCTCCTGCAACTGCAGGGAAAACTATCGGACTCCACTCCAGCCCTGCTCACTTCAACCCAACCTCTGTTTACTATTTTCTGGAGTAACTCCACAGTGAACTACTTGCCTGTACCTGCCTTCACTGCCCTCTCAGCCTAGCTCAGCTCAGATCACAATCCTAGTCCTAACTCCTAACCAGTTGTGACCTCCCAGTCCTTAACAGCTATCTGCTAAGCAATATTCCTGTTAGTTTTCATCATCTTATCATTTTAGGGCAGCCTAAACCTTTGGGTGTGCTTCAACTTGAAGAACCACTCCTTCAGAAGACGTTTTTAGGAGAGAAAAAAAGCACCTACTCTATATTAGGTACTTCGAACCGGCTGTGAAAAACTGTTGAGGTCTCGTCTGAGTGTCATTTTTTTGCCCTCTTGATGTCCCCATCAAGTACCGTCTTCATCGCTGTCTTCAGTGTAGAATTCACTGCATAGGCTGACATGACAAACCCTCCATTGTTTTATTTCTGCTCTATTTCACTCTGTAAATGGATCCTTCCCCGCAACGGAAACACAAAGGCCGAAATGGCTCATTATGTAGCTGTTCCCGTAAATGTCTGTCTGACCTCGTGCCTGCCTCAAGTTCCTGCATTGAAAAGCTGCCTTCTGTCTAGTATTAATAATTTCAATGCTTTTTAGCAATTTTGATATCCGAATATTTGGCTGCCACCTACCCCCCGTCGGTTCGAATCCTCACTCACTCACACACACATTGAAAGTGAACAGTTATTGCAAGGAAATACCGTATTTGACAATGATAACATTAATAGTGAATGTGTTTACCTGAACTCTCTCATTAAGATCTACACTCCCTCTCGCTCAATACGCTCGACCAACAAAAACCGCCTGATACAACCACCATAACAGGGCCAGAGGTCGATAGCTGGACTCTTCTCCTCTGTGGTTCTACGGTGGTGGAACGAGTTACCAAACTCTGTTCAATCTGCTGACTCCCTCTCAGTCTTTAAGAAAAGACTAAAGACCCAGCTCTTCACTGAACACCTTTGCACTTGACTGCCCGAAAACAAACAAGCTAAAAAAAGACAAACAAACAAAAAAATCCTATCACCTCCCACACAGCCTGCTGTTGGCATCAACACCCTATCACACTTGAATTTTTTTTATGGCACTTATCTAGATTATTTTCTCCTGACTAGATCCTTGCTTGTGTTGTATCTGCTCTCAGATGTACGTCACTTTGGATAAAAGCATCTGCTAGATGAAATTGTAGAATTGTAGAATTGTTTACATGGCATGGGCAAAGACAGATCTTATCTTACTCTGACTTTTCCTCATCTTCTCTACGTGGACCTTCCGTCTGGAGATTGTTCATTATTTGAAACACTGAAACACTGTCTATTCACTTGCAAAACTTACAGGTTTTAAAAATAAGTTTAGGGTTAGGGTTAATTAATCTTTTTTTTTTTTTTTTGACTATCCTACTGGTCAGTGTTTCCTGTTGTGCAGCAAACCACCAAGTCAAATCCCTCTATTTGAAAACCTTCTTGGTAATGCAACTTTCATTTTGTTTTAGTATTTTTTATTTGACCTTTAGTTAACCAGGTAAAATGTCTGAGAATCAGTTCTCATTTGCAAATATGACCTGGCCAAGAGGCGCCAGCAGAAACAAATACACATGTAAATTCCAGACTCATAAACATAAACATAGAACAAAAGTAAAGTGTTCCAGTCATTAGCTGTTGTAAAGCAAAAGGAGTTACAGCCAAAAACAGTAGAAGCGTTGGAAATGATAGAGCTTGACGTATTCACTAGACATAGTACGATAAGAATTATGGGCGACGTGAAGAAGAGAGGACAGGTAGGAAGGTGGCTTGCCCACAGGTGTCAACTGATTCCTATTTGGAAAGAATCAAGAGAAGTTTGGGGGTCCTGCTGAGTGTAGCAATCACAATACACACATACATAAGAGCCCATGTGGTCTCTACATGTTCCTACTGAAACTAATTCAAACATTTACTGGGAAAAGAGCCTATAGGTTTTGGTGTTGTTGTTGTTGTTTTTTAGCCTGCTAACTTGATAAATTTGTAGGGGCGTGTCCCCCTAAGTGCATGTAACTTAATGTATCGTGTGCTACTTCATTAAATACGTGGCCAACAACTACTTTTATTATTATTATTATTATTATTATTATTATTATTATTATTAATAAATAATAATAATAATAAATAATAATAATAAACATCTATAGACAATGTATATGACGACTGCGGGCTTCACTTTACCTTTACTACACATAGCAGATGTGGAAATACACTAAGTCAGCAACAATAAAACCTGTTAGGGTCCAATAAAGCTAGGCTATCATGGCTATAAAGTTATTAAGCTAGTTTCTAGAACTGACGCACACGGTTTCTGAACACAGAAAACTCTTCCTGAAGTGTAGGACAAATAAAGGGACTAAAAAGTTCTTCGACATACTTGAACCATCTTCTCCGACGTAGTACTGTTTCTCTTTGAAGTATCTCGTGTGCGCAGTGTACGTCTTCTCGTCGTCTCCGCTCCCTTCGGTCCATCGGACGTGAGCGTCTCCTTTGGCTTTGACCAGAGCACACTTCACTTTGGTGTCTTTTGTCAAAGTGAAACTAACGCTTCCCGTGATGGTGTCTCCGGAGGAGAACGTGTCCTCTTCGTTGAGCGCTTCATAAGTCACATTTAATTCTTTAATCGGAGACATTTTGGCTCCGTAGTGCACACACGTTGTTTCGTTGTCCCACTACTACCACTTCTGTCAACAATCCACGAGCTCTCCCACTACGTCCGGTTCCGCCCGAAAAATGACGTCATATATATATATTAAAAAAAAAAGTAGCGCTTCTCTCACTGGGACTATTTACATTAACACTGCTAAGGTGGTTTAACTTTAAGGGGTCACATAAAGGGAAAAGATCGCATGAATTCGATTATTTACCAAGAGCTGCCCTGCCTTGTGGACATGTAAACAGTAACATTAATTACAAAGTCTTCACACTCACACCCAAAGATTCACAAAAAATCTTTTTATTAAAATCTACAAGAGACAACGTACTGAGGGTTTCAGAGTATATTAATAATTCAGGTGCAAAATGTAACAAAAGTGACATTTGTCTCACGCAATACTAGACGTACTGGGAAGTATAGAGGATTGTGTAAATCTGATCTGTTAGGTGACCACTTTAGTATAAAGAAAAATAATAAAAGGATGGGTTTTTTTTGCACGTTTACAGAGGGCAATGTGGTGTTTAGATAACGGATGGATGTTTACAGACTGTTTCCAGTTTTTTTTGTTTTTTTTTTAGGCAGCCACTCAACAGCAGAGTGAGGTAGCATGAGTAAATACATAGAATTTAATGCTGTGAGAAAGGGCACTTTGAGCAAGGCATTTTAACACAGTGCATCCTGATGACTGAGGTTTGAGTATTACATTAGCAGCTGGACAAAGCCAACTGACCTGACCAGAAAACAAAATCCCACACAGCACGAAAGTCTAATTTTTGTATATCTCATACCCAGCTAAGTGCCACCAATAAATATTGCACGCAATCACTCTACCATTTAAAATTGACACTTGTTAAAGACACAATATAGGTGATAAGTTAGTGAACATTTTGAACAGTTAGTGGTGTGGTTCTATAACAATTAACTGATGTAGTCATTAGGCATTTATTTAGTTATTTTCCATCAGGTGTTTCATTTGTAGAAGATGGGAAAAGTAAGGCATATGCTGGAGGAGCTTCATCTGACTGAGACAGGAAATCTGTATTCATCACTGGCGCAGAAGGCAGCAGGTTGTATGTTGGAGCTGTGGGCAATGCAGCAGGAGGTACTGGCTCGATCTCTGGGGCGGATGGAGCGGAGTGAAATGATGGGACAGCGGGCGGAGGGTGAAGCACCGAAGACGACGACGCGGTTGAAAATGGAGACCCATACGCAGAAGGCTGCTGTGGCACTGGGTGATTGTAGCCCCCAGACATGTGTGTTGGCTGACTTGGGTAGACACATGGTGGACCAGCATACGCCGGTGGGTGAGCTGGGTACGCGGGTGGTGCTGCTGAATAACTGGGGACTGCTGGATATCCATAACCACCTGAATGTGGAGATGCAGGATAACGGCCCATAGATACCTGAGGGGGAGGAAAGTCGCTGTTGCTCTGACCTCCAACAGCGCCACCTGGAGAGGGACCCACAGCCACACCACTCGGAAAGCTCGAAACCATGACAGGGGGCAAGATAATTACTGGGAACTTGATCTTCGGATCGAAAGCAAAGCTGATGTCCAGATACACCTGAGAAAAAAATATGTCTTTAGTACATAATTGTTTACTTTAAAAATACAACAGCAACATTAGAACATCTGGATAGTTGAACCAAAATTGGAAAATCCTTTAACTTGCTTGTGGATTTTTACAAAATCAGTTAAAAAAAAGCAACAACAGCTCTTTCAATATACTTGTCAGACTATGTTTTACTTTAACAATACAATATGTTATGCAGTTAAAATGTTGCATACCTTTAAATGGTAGTCCACTCTGATAATGTCACAATTCTGGATTGTCAGCAGGTAATCACTAGGAATCTTTATTCCACACCGAATCTCCTTCTGCGTCTGGGATTTAATACAGTTTTCGACTACTTTATGGACAACTTGGCTGTCGGATTTGGTGCTGCCATTGGCATGGTACTGGACGTCCCGGACTAAACTAATTTTGGGTACCATGTCGCTGGACGTAGAGTTGTTGATTTTTGCAAAAATCATCATTGTCTCACCTGTGAGGAAAAAAAACATAAAATTTGTACTTACATTTATGTATATTCAAGTGGAACATACATTGTATAAAAGGCACAATATATTAACAATATATGAAATGCTAAACCCCTTATTACTCCAAATTACAGTATTTAAAAGTACTATCTGACCCACATGTAGAAATAACACAGTGATTCTAATGTCTAAAGATGGTATTTTTCTTTTAAAGACTGTAAACATTACGTATATTACTAACATCATATCCATGCATTTTTTTGTGTTATATAAAAACTGTCACTGATTACAGATAATTTTATGGCAGATATTTTAAGCTGTCAAGAGTACAGGTGTAAATGGTAACACTGATAGTGGAGCAGTTGTAACTGAGTGTCCCAGGATGTTAGAGTGGCACAATACCACAGCACTGGTAAGGATTTCTTTTTAAATTAAACACGTCTGTTTACTTAGCCTGGTTGAATTATGCCTGCTTTAACTGGGCTGAGATGTCAAAATGCCTGTTATAAAATGGACTTTAAAGCACATGCAATTTCTCGATGAGACAATTCACAAACTATAATGTCAGTGGCACTACTGCATCTTTTATTCATTTTAATGCATCTGGTAATGTTTGATATTTTGCAGCATGTTGGCTTTGACAGTGACGCAACAAAAATAAATGGATTTTTAACATCTGATTTTAGCTGAAGTTTTCTTTTCATTACCTGAACCTACCACAGGGGAGGAATTTAAGTACCTGCAGCATAAGCCGTCTTGTCAACACTGGCATCCATGTGTACCTCTCCTCTGGAGAAAACTCCAGTCTCTTTCTTTGTTGAACCAACTTGTTGCAACTGCAATGCAATAAATACATAAAGGGGGTTGTAGTCATGGGCATACACAGAGGAATCATTTACACCAACAGTTCCCTTTGACTTTTCGGAGCCTTGTAGGGAGTTTCATCTTGCAATTTAACTGTCAGCAAAAAGATTGCCTGTTCTGGCTCACTCTGATAAAGACAGTGATGATCAGATGTTTTGCCTGAGACAGCTCAGAAACAGAGCGAAAACAGAGTAAATATACAATTTTTTTGTTGACCAAGAAGTTTCTACTCTCCACAGAAGAAATAGTATCTACGAAGAATGTTCACAATAAGGCCTGTTTATTATTCAACGTAGCTGGGTCATATTAAAGAATTTAAATTATAAATTCTACTAAGCCTTTCTCTGACAAATGTTTTGCATTGTCATAGTAGGAAAAGCACATGTGTAGCCTCATCTATAATGATGGCCATGTGCTCTTTATGTATTCCAGTTAGCAAGACCAGAAATCACAATAGCTGGATGCAGGAGACGTTTGCTCTTTATGTAATCCACCCATCATTATTGTAATTACACAACAGTGCTTTTCCTGTTGCAACATGGTAAACGTCTGCTGTAACCAAAGTCTATCACCTGCATTATACTGTGTTGGTGGGACAGGCTTCAGAGCTGGAATTTTCAAAACTTCAGCAGACAAAAATAAAACTATACTCGTGGCTGGATAGACCTAGAAATTAATTAAAATGTGTTTTGATTTTCCTTATATTACAGCCAAACAGTCCACCATGAAAAAAAGTTGCATCCAAACAAATAAAATTGTATCTCTGCATGCAAAACTGTAGAATAAGTGAACATCAATCATCAGAAATGTTTATGTGCATGGTGAAATGCTTTACACACCCTCAGACTGTGAAGATTCGGAATCGACTTGGAGACAAAGCTGAGCTCCTTTTCTGCTGTGCTGTCCATCTTCCAGCTCCTGGACAGCTTTGCTACCAGCTTGTAGACAATCTTTCCATGAAAGCCCTTGAAGGACGATGGCATGCTTCTGCAATAGGGAACCAGTGCAATGACTGTTATGTAACGTGAACCGATCTCACGCCAGTTTGAAGCATGTGCAGGGGGAAGTTAGTGGTTCAAGGATGTTGGGAAATCGTAGCGGTGTAAACACAAATGCTCCAGTCAACTGTCTGACTGCACTTACCCTGTTGGTATGTTAAAGCTGAATCTATAGACATGGTTGCCTTGTGGCAGAACGGTTTCTGAAAAACAAGAGATTTTGGCGTTAATACTTAAATGTAACAGAATGCTACAACTGAAGTACTGCACAATTTCAGTCTTGTACATTTTGTTCACTACAGTGATGTGACAGCTTAAATTATTTATTGAAACGAAAAAAAGAAGAAGTCTAAATTCATTTTGAACCAGACCAACAATATGACATTATTGATGCTTGGGTAATTTCTTAGTGGTGATAGTTCAACATTTTCAAATACTTGACTTATTTCTTTCTGAATGTGGGATTTGGCTTGTTTGTTAATGGTATTTTTATGGCTCACAAAAAGCAGAGAAAAGTGCATAAATGGACAATGCAGAGAAAAAAAACAGAAAGCCTACAGCGTGTGGGACTTAAGTGGATTGACTCAGGCATGCAGAAGTAACTGTAAGTCCACCGCCTACCCTGGGAGCCCTCTGGGATCAGAAACTGCTTGAGTTTGAAGTATCTCCTGTGCGCGTGGTACGTATGGGTGCGATCGTTGGATTTCCTCGTCCAGCGCACGTCTGCGTCCCCTTTAGCTTTGATAAACAAGCTTTCTACTTTGGTTTCCTTTAATAAGGCCAGCGTCACACTTCCAGTTATCGTGTCCCCCTCGGAAAACGTCCCAAACTCATTCAGCGCGTCGTAAGTCATCGTGAAGGCTCTTATTGAAGGCATTGTGGCACAGGAACAGTAAACAAACAAACCAAAAACAACGGGATTCCCGCACAAGTGATCCACTAGCTCGTTTTCGCTATTTGTTTTTTTCTCCACAGATCCTTCATGGCGCGCTGACTGTGGTACATGCGGAATCGTTCAGTGTGTAGGACACGCCCTGAGAAAGTCTGCTTGAAGACCTCTACTGCCCTCCACTGTGGAGAGGGGACACTAGAGGGCTGCAGGCAGAAACTGGAAGTCACTCAGTTCCCATGTTTGTTCCTTCCAAAAGAGCTTCAAATAGATCACACCATTTAATCTGTTGCAAAGTGCTTGTTCAAATACAATTGAAGGAACATTTTAGATTTGTTGTGGTTCTCTGCATAGTTTTGTGAGGTGAAGTGCAATAGAAATGACATATTTGTAATTCGTGCTGCATACATAAAACTGAATTGAAATTTGGATTGAACATTTAGACTTGCATTTAAAAACAAAAGTCAACATTTGACACATAAAATCAAAGTTTAAAAGATCGAAAAAGGTTTTGGAAGAAGTTGAACACTTCAATATACCCCTTATGTAATGCAGTTATTAATGCAATAATAACTGATTTCAAATGGGCCTAATTAGTTGTTAAACTTCCCACTTTACGTAAACAAGCCCTTGACCATGAACTGTATGGCTGTGACACACACACTCACACGCACATCACAAGTAACAAGCAAGAAAAATAAGAAACAGTTCTTCTAAAAACTGTTATGATTAAGGTGTTTCAACTTTGCTATGTATTAAAGCTTCATCCAACAAAGAGCTTTAGACATTTTCTTGTTTCTAGTATTCTAAAGTTCTTAAAAGTGTATCTGTTTAAATGTGGTCTCTCATTAAAGCATCTTCATCATTGAACCTTTCTCAGGGCAGCCGTGATTGTTAGACTGTGAAAGATTTTTTAGAAACTTTCTCGCAATAGAGCCGTTCTTACTTCTACTCAAAGCCAGTGTCCCAAAACTGAGGAAATTCATATTACAATTTTTCCTTATTTCTGAATGGATTCAATCACAATTTTAGATCCATTGTCTGCCTTTATATTCCTCCTGCAACTATAAGGCTGAATCCTCTCATTTATTTTACAGTTGCACTCATTCAAGTGACCTTTAAAATTAAAATTTTCTTATTAATCGGAAAGATTCATAAGGTCTTGGTCCCTGTTACAGAAAGTTCAGTCCAGTTGTTGAATGTAAAGTCTAATAACAATGAAGTTAACAAGCTGTTAAAATCATTCTGTCAAATATAACATCCATAACCTTGGATTTCTTCAGTTTCTTTTTTTACTGCTCTGTCTGTAGAGTTTAAAAAAAGAAAAAAAAATGCCTTTATCTCATCTCTTCAAAAACATTGTGTAGAACATTGCTAGATGATTTAGTCTGCTTTGAATTTTGCCGATTTGCTATTTATGTGTAATTTATTTACATTTTCCCCCTCCTAATTTCTGTACCATATACCCCACTTACCTTTTACATTGTGCAGCTTTATTTGTGCATCTGTTTGTCACTAATAATTCATTTTATTTCAGGTTTTCTGCTAAATGTCATTTGTATTGTAACATTATTGTATTGTTATTAATAAAGTAAAACAACAGCAAAAACTGTGCCAGATGCGTTTGAGAGCCCCCTGGAGGTCAGTCACAGTAAAATCATGATGGGGAGGTGGCAAAAGTGACTCTGCAACAAGTCTGTCATGTTGTTTCTGCAAGTCCCAGGCACAGAAGGAAGACTGAGAGAACCCTTTTGGAGTTCACTTCACTCATTGAAGAAGGATTCATGTGAACCACGGGCACATCAACAAACATAAATCACTTCAACAGCCATAAAATAGTCCTCAGATTACCCCTGAAAGCACAGAAAACACCTCAGATCTAAATCTCAGCATTAGCCATGTTGCAACAGAGAGCTTCAGTTTACACATTAATTTCAAAATCTAAAAAAAGGTAATCTCCTTTAATAAAGCAAATTCAAAACTCCCTGGTAAGAAAAAAAAAAGAAAAATGAAAAGACAACATTTTAAAATTAGTTTCCTCTTGATTAACACATTATCTTTATTGTCAGTCCTGACCAAAGCATGTGATTTGAGTTTCTAGAGCGATCCCAAAATCTTAGAAACATCTCTATTTTTTAATTAACTTGTGGAAAACAGACATACATACATACATACATACATACATACATACATACATGTGGGCGTAGTTAATAATAAATATTTATTTGATGATTGTGACATAACGTTTCTTGGATTTTCAAAAAGACATAAGGAGTGGAATGATTGAGCGCTCTTCCATTTCTCCTTTCCTTATGTGTTAATATGAAGATTTTATAGAGAAACTTTCCTGTCTCCTGAGGTACTGTAATAAGTGCACTGTCAACTGATGTTACATGTTAAACAGGCTGCACCTCAAATATATATGACATGGTTACTTTAGCCAATTATGGTGTTGCTATTGATGCCCTTTCCATCTGTGACAAAATAATTCAAAAAGATCTCAAACAGAAACACTTATTCCAAAAACAACCAAACATCTATTAAATATAAAAGGACAGACTGAACTCCTAATGGTATGAAATAATATATTTACTCTCCTCTATAAATATGTGCTGTCTAACATAATCAAAGAACTGTTATTTAAAATGCCACAAAGGTATTACCCTTTAAATTCTATTTTTTGGAAAATACATTTGGAATACAGAAGACAAATACTCTTTTTGCAGTTGCATGTTGAAGCCACAGTCTCTGGTGTAAACACAACAACTGTCTTCATTCAGTGCATACATGTGTCACTGTTTTGGGCTGATTTTAGGTTAACATACTGTATTTTGGTACAGTCATTTTAACATGACGAAGAACTAGATTTGTTATTAATTTTTCTAAGTCGATTTTTTTTTTTACCAGTAGTGAACAATATTTAGTTAATTTGCTCACTATTTTGGAAAAAAAATGCTTAACATTTCAAAAATTCCATTAAAAAATCACAAAAAAATATTAATTTATGCGGACTCTTCAGCGTTAGTAAGACAACTGAGTAAACGTCTTCTGTGGGTTCATGGTTATGTTAATGCATACTCTTTTAAACCTATTATTACATATTTCATACAACAGCAACAATAACATGTCTTGGCAAACAGGTGACCTGAGGCTGCTCTCTGATTGGCTGCTTGGGTTCCGGACACTTCTTCTTCGTTGGTTTTTGACCTCGCTGAAGAGTTTTTCTCGGCGCGCACCGGCAGACTACGCAGGTGGTTTGCGTTTCCTCATCAGCTTTCTCCCACACTTTTGTAAGTCACAACAATTACCTGTTTTGTTTTCAGGAAGAACATGAATTGAGGTGCTTGTCTGCAGTTACACAACCATAATATAGTAACCTAAAAAAAAACGGCTGTGTGAGGCGTGAGTGCGGTTAGCTAAACCGTATTTGTGACAATGGTTGAACGGTGTGCGTGAAATGAAGCTTTCCCTCGACATGTAGCTGCTTTTTTAAGCTTTAATGTGTTCTTAAGAATTTAGAAAGAACTTGTAGGTGTGTGGTTATACGTGGGCTAGGGTCATAAAACGAAGCTCTCCCCAATGAACGTGCTGACATTAGCTAGCATACTCGTTAGCTTAGGTTAGTTGCTAAAATGAATAATAAACTTTTTTTGTACTGTTAACTTCTGTCATAAAACCACACGCAGTTCTTCGGGTGCATTAAAGCTTGCCTTTATATCCTCGGTTGAAACTTGAATGCTTAATGTATCGTTGCATTGTGAGTAACTCCGTGATTGAAAATGCGCAGGTCCGCCTCTGGACAACTCAACTCTTCTGGTGTTTTCTAACTGTCCAAATATAGCTTCAGGGATAGTCTAAGTTGTTGGAGAGATTGAAGTCTGCCACCATCCACAGCTGCAGAAAGCACTATTGCTACCAGTAGCAAAGTCCTAAGAAAGACTCCAAACTAAGTTAGCCTGAGCGTCTCAAGTGTCTCGTCCACTATAAGATTACTCCCGCCATCCGACCCCTGACTCGCCCCCACACCTCGGCCTGCAATTTAACAAGTGCCAGACAAGCTTGGAAAGGAAGAGCTTATGCAAACGTGTCTAAAAATACACTCCAGCGATCTATAAATTGGAGTGAGGCCTTCGTTTTGTAGCTCATGGTTTAAAAATAAAGAATGGCTAGAATATTTCTGCGAGAAAGATGCTGTATTTTGCTGTGCTTGTAGAAATGGAGATTCAGGAAACAATATAATCTGGGTCATAATGGTAAGAACAAAACCACTAGTACGGGCCATCAAACTGTTCTCTGTTGTTCTTTTTGCAACTGATTATAAATTAAATGTGAATCTTTTACAGAAGTCATAATTGACAAAGTCCAAAGCAAAAAATAGTTGGGTAAAATGTTACACATAACAGACTTTTAAGTGTAAGGCCCATTGTAAACATTACTCACAATACCTGTATAGATTATGCTAGAATTGGGAACAGTAACAGGCAGCACTGCAGTTATATTAAATCATCAGATGCAATAAGGTTACAAAGTGCTTAACAAAGAACATTTAGATGGGTAGGTGAAATTAAGTTAGGTCTAAGGACTAACTGTGAAGTTTTATTCAAGGCAGCAGAAAATGCTCCCCACATAAAACTAGCTTTCCCCTGGGCTCCTGTGGCTGCCGTCCCTCTTCTGCGTGTTGACAGCACTTGGCCATAAATGCCTTCGTTTTGGAGATCTGTTGGGTGATGGAAACAGGACGATGATGACAAGTTTAAGAGTACAAAAATGTTACATTTCCAGCATTTTTAGTCAGCATAAGTGGTTTATTTTCACTGCAGTGAGGGACTGAGTATCTCGGACATACAGAAATCTGTGGATGGGCCTGATTTTCCATTAGCCAGGGTTTCAATGGATACCGGAGTTAGAGGGCACCTGTGTCCATTTGAATCATAAAGCAATGTTGGAAGGAGGGACCTGCTGTAATCACAGTGTACCGTAAAGTATTTTCCAACCGTCTTCCAGCTTAATTTGTTCATTGTAACAAACTATTTTTTGTTGCTGTTGTTATTTTACATATAACCATCCTTAATCACAGTAAATACAGTCCAGTTTCAAAACACATAGTATTGTCTATAATAAT